GCTTGACTGTGGGTTAACTACTTTAACTTACGAGTAGCTTGTAGCTTGTCAAACTACAGTTTCAGAGTAGCTTCCCCAACACTGCTTCTGACTCGCGTCTTCGTTCCTCGGGTTACCATACGTACATGGTATGGAAATGCTATATATTCGTGAAATAAATACACAGTTGGAAATTGAAACTGAAACAGGAAATTGAAAAGAAAAGAAAGACCTAATTTAAAATGCCAATAGAAATAGTGTGTCAAATAACAGCGATGGAAACATTTTTGTAGCGCCCTGAGTTTAAATCCTGCATGCAAATTTTCCATAAACTAGGTATCAGGAATGCATTCCAGTGTCTATGTCATATATGCCAAGCTCTGCTACTTGGCCTCGGTGTCAGAACATTTTTTCTCTTTAAAATCATTGTATATTTACTTTGTATCTAAATTGGGTTTCGACAGCCAGCCCACAGGTCAACCGACCCTCTGGGAATGTCCCTGTGGCAACCACATCCCTGAATGGAGTTAAACAACATTTTAAGTCACAGTGAGAGGCAGACGAAGCGTGACCGCCAACAGAATGAAGGGAAAAGACAGAATGGAAAGGAAACCAGAGGATGTATGAGCATAGAGACAGAGATGAAAAGAGAACTGACAAAGAGATAAACAGAGAGAGAGAGAGAGACCTGTGTGCTAACCGCCTGATCAGTTCATGTGGGACAGTTTGCATTTTAAGAACTTAATCCTCGAAAGACAAGGCCAGAGCGACAATCACCACAAATCAGCGTAGGAAACGCCATCTGCCTGACCCGCTGCAGACCTCTGTCTCTCCATCTCACCTGAAACTGCACGTAATCAGCATGTAGCCTCACACACTATCTGTCACTGAGGAAAGAATCACCATTTATCATAATGGCTGGTGGTATAGTGTCTCAGTAAGAAGAGCAAAATTTGAAAGGCACCATAGCGTTGTGAGCTATTCCTCCCGCTGGGTGAACTGACATTTGTGGTAATGGTAAGCTCCGTTGCAGAGATAGAGAGGTGATGGATTGTCATGCTTAAGTGGCTTAAAAATATCTTCCTCATGGGTAACATATCCAGATAGAACTCCTGGAGAAAAGATCCTTTCTTCCTGAACCTGATACTGATACTGATTGAATAAATGGAGTGGGTGTTTGCGGCGAGAAGGACGAGGCAGAGGGCCGTGGGAGAACGGCGCGAGGACAGTGGCGTGATTGCTGATGAGCGACACCCTGTGCGATGCACAGGTCTCGTATCTCTCAAGGACGAGCGGAAGCATAAAAGGATGAACGATGACAGTGAAGATTGAGAGAGGACCAGGCCTGAATTTATGTTGTGTTTCTGAATTGTGTGTGGCAGCAGTCGCCCTTGAGGGGCTGCTGCCTTTACTCTCGTTTTGTTTCTTTGCCTGTTCCTGCCTCCTTCCCATAACAACAAACATTGCTACAGTGTTAACCTCACAATTGATTAAGATGCATTTTTCCAGACATCATATTATTCAGATTTTCCCAGAGGAAAATTGCTCTTTCAAATCTCAGCTGTGTTTGTCTTAGGATTGTTTCATATAAAGGTGAAATATGAAACTAGTGGCACCAAACAGAATTAATTTTAAAAAACAAATATCCTGATAATCTGCAAAAGTAAAAATAAATAAAATGAAAAATAAATAAAATAAAATGTCAATGAAAACCATCTCCATCACTAATGCATATGTAATGCACATTCATTTCATTTAATTTCTGTCTAGGGGAGATATTGAAGAGATATGGGACTTTCTTATTGAGGAACTGTGTCAGATGAAAGCTGAGCCTAGAACTGTGGTCACTATCAGGTCAACCACATCTGAGACTGTCTCCAGTTACAGGAAGAGCAGCATTTTATGGAGCTGTGTTTATGAATGAGGCAGGGTCATCATTGATTGTTTGTCTGACATTCTTGATTCTTCTTCCCAGAATCCTTTGCTCAGTCCCATAGGGGAGGTCCTGGTGTGTGCGTGTTTATGTGTTGGGATTGGGGGGTATTAGGAAGGCAATTGCATAACATCAGCACTCTGTGTGCTTTGGTGTTGAACTGTGAAGGCGTGCGACTTTGAAAAGACTCCCATGGGAAAGCTATGCTTTTAGTTCCCGTTTGCTCAGTCCGGTGGAATAACAGGCCCAAGGCCATGATGAGCACCCAGCAGAAGGGGGTGGGAAAAGATGTGCATGTAAACTAAGCTAGTAGTTTGTTTATATGTTTGTGTTGGTGTGAGTGTTAGACGGAGGGTGGAAAAGAGAGAGAGAGAGAGATATGTGTCTATATATGTTTGGTGCATCTAAATGGCTACAGACAGCAAAATTGATAATTTTGGATTTTTTGTAAAAAGAAAAAAAAAGGTTTAAGGTAACATCAGTCCACTATCAAGGTGAAAATTAGAGTCTGAACATGAAATCAGTCTCAGATGAAACACAAACTATTAAAGAGAAGTGTGTCATTTAAAGCAAGTGTACAGCAATTAATTAAAAAAAAAAGATCTTTCATTGGTTGATCCAGAGCTTAAAGTGTGGGGCTCCTCAAACAATGTTGAAACTGTCACAAATAACATGAAAATAATACAACACAGATCAATAATATTGTTGAATATTACAGTAAATGCCCCCACCTAAGCAAGCCAAAAGCCAAGGCAACAGTGGCAAGGAACCAAAACTCCATCAGGTGACTGAATGGAGGAAAAAAAACCTTGGGAGAACCCAGGCTAAGTGGGGGGCAGTTCTCCTCAGGCCAACGAAGGAACAGTGTGTAATTCGGGCAGCATTACAAGACAAATTGGATTGAACCATTAAGAGTATTTGTCCATTTCCATCTGTTTGTAAGTCGGCGTAATCACGCCGATATGGAGATGAGTTGTTGAGGATCAGGGCCAATGGCTGTCGTTAGCTGTAGTGTATAAATATGGCTCAAGTCTCGACAATAGAATCCTTTCCAGCACCTTTGACACTGAGCTTGACAGGGCTATATGCCTATAATTATTCACTAAGTTTACCGCTCATATCTTTAATCACAGGGACCAATACAGTCAATAAAAGTGACTGCGGTAGAAGGCCATGTAACAAAAAATCTGTAAAACAAATGGCCAATAGAGTATAAAGTCTTGTACTGGCATATTTTAAATGGTTTGATGTAATGTTATCCAGCCCACAAGACTTCTTTTTCTTTCAGCTTTGAGACTGTATAGTACACCTCTCCAGGATAAACAATCACTCCTACCTGGCTTTCTAAAGCCCCACCCCTCTTCACAGCACCACTGACACATAATGTTAGAAAAAAAAATGTTAGCTAGAAAAAGCTGACACATATTCTAAGTCCCAGTCACCCCATTGTTATTGGATGAAATAGAGCTTCTACTGCTATTAAGCTGACTTCTTTCCAGAAATCATTATAGCTATTTTGCAAGTTAGATGCAAGAGAATCTGCCCTTAAGGTATTCTCATTCCTCTTGATGTAGCTACCTGAGAGCATATTTAAACTTGGAATAAACAGGAACTTGCTTTCCTGCTACCGCCCAGGTCTTAAACGCCTGCCGTGCCTCAGTGTGTGCTTCTTCTAGAGATGCTTTCCATCCAAGTTTGCCAGCATAAGCATTATTCTTTGGTTTACATAGGGGCCTGCCTGAACTAATTATACTATTCAAAATAGTGTCATATAGGCTGAGCAGTTGCAAACCATGGTCTTGTTTGGAGCAGTTCCCAACATGACACAATATGGTATCTTTTGGGAGCTCAATATCCTTCAAATATTGCTCATTTATCTGCATGTATAAATTAATTTCCTCCCAGGTAAGACTAGACATGGGGTGCATTTCCCGAAAGCATCGTTAGCCAACTATGGTCGCAAGTTATTTCCATTGAACTCTATTGGTAACGACGGAACTTGCGACCATAGTTGGTTAACAATGCTTTCGGGAAACGCACCCCAGTCCGGTTTCTCTCCATTTACCTGATTTACAGAGATTCACATCTGAATCTCTGATTCCCTGATTCACATCTTTACACAATTTGTCCAATGCCACATGGAGCTGTTCAATGCCTGTGTCAACGGCTTCAATATTTCCACCTTTTAATAATTTCTTTAATTCATTCATTCTTTGTGACGCCAGTCACGCCACACACGCCAAATTTTACTCTCCAGTAGCAAATCCAGCCACAAACAATAATGCACTCTAATAGTGAACTTGAAAAGGTAAATTCTCAAAGATCCAATACTTCATCTCCAAACTCCAAAGTATATATATATATATATCCATGTCATCTTTGCCTCATTCTCTTTCGCTTCCAACCAACCCAGCTTATAGTTGTTAAAATGTATGCGTTCTATATTAGAAATGACTCCTTCTACCTGTCCGAAAATACAGTGAGTAGAAATTTTCAGCCATCCAGAACACTGAGTCAACATTAGGTTTTTAGTAGCAGACAAAGCATGGACTTCAGTAATCCAATAAATGATTGGTAAGTAATTGAAGAATGATGGTTAAAAAAGGAACAATTTAATATCAGTAATGTCCAAATAGTGTTAAAAGTAATTAAGACTTAATTAGCGATGTAAAAAACTGTATGCTTAATACGTTCCAACAGCTTCCTTGTTCTTTTTTTCTCTTTTGTTTAAGGTGTGAGGTGGCCATATTTATCTTCAAACATTCTCACCGACTGTCAAACTAAAAGTCCATACAAAATAAAGGATCCTAAATCTAACAAAACATACCAGAGTTCCAATAGCACAACAATTTAGATTAACCTAAATTCAAATAGCTCCTACAACCAGTTTACACTTTTTGGAAAGTTAGCCTACAAATTTTATGCTAATATTTGTCTCTGAAGCATAAACTAAAGGAAAGATTACACAAAAGACTACAAAGATGATTACTGATAAAAAAAACAAAACAATAAAAACCAATAAAAGAGCAAATAGGGAAATTTTAAATTAGAATCATTAGAGTCATGATTCACACACAATGGTTCTTACTTTTTCGGCATCCACCAAAACAATCCGAACTAGCACCACGTTTATTCGTGCCCCGAGAGATTGGTCATGATAGATTTCGTTAACCTGTGAAGAGAGAAAAACAGTGTTAGGTCCAACATTAAGAGCTTCATATTGAGACTGATACTGAAATTGTGAGCATAAAAAGTCTCACTATACAAAGTCACACTATACAAAACACCTATTAAAGCATATTATGTTCAACTTCATACTGAATACCCTTTAGATTCATACCTTTTAGACATCTGTACAACTGTATCAACACAACTGCTCTAGAAAAAGTTGAGATTATTATCAAATCAGATTTCTGAAGGATCATGTTACACTGAAGACTGGAGTTATGGCTGCTGAAAATTCAGCTGTGACATCATCACATGAATAAATTATATTTTACAATATTTCACAATATTACTGATTTTACAGTATTTTTTTTTTTTTTTTTTATCAAATGGTTGCCGTCTTGCTGGCAATTAGAGACTTTCAAAAACATTGCAGGCTTCCAGAGCAGTAAAAACACAAACCTTTTGAATACTAGTGTACATAAAAAGTCATTTAGTTCCTATGAAGGTAATATAAGTTTCAGCTTAAAACATAACTCTAGACTAGTCTGATAAGCTGGTTTCAGAGGGGTTTCGAGAAGAAGAAAAACAGCTAGAGCATCTCATGCCAGCTAAGACCAGAAAAACATCTGAGGCCAGAAAACAAATACATGCATGTATATATTTAAGAATTATTTGCATGTAAATACTGTATATCGGTAAATACATAATCTATATTATACATTTAAATATTTTATATATGAATAACACATTATCTTAAACGTGATCTTAAGCAGAGAATCTAACACTGTAAATGACTGATAGTTGACATGTTGGAAAGTTAGTTAGTGTAATGTCTAAAGTGGACAATTGGAATAAAGTATTGATTCGAGTAATAACATTAAAAAAATACTGATAACATTTAAAAATGTGAGAATAAAGGACACTATTCTCGCAAAAGCTATATTATCAAAATCTTACGTTAAAATTTTTGGTATCACTTTACAATAAGGTTCTTTATTTAACATACTACATTACTGTAATTAGCATGAACTAGTAATGAACTGCAGCATTTATTAATCTTTGTTAATGTTAATTTACAACATCAATAGTGTTCTTCCTCAACCTCCTACAGAATAAAAACCCTATAGATTCCCCCCTCCCACCCACCTCTCTCTATGTTAATGATTGTGAGAGTGTAGGTCTCATTAGTACAGCCCTTGGTTGCTGGCCTTGTTCAGGAGCACTGGGTTTCATCAGCCTACAGGTAACTAATGGAGACCTAGAGGTCAGCAAGTCAGAAAATCATTAATATCCCATTAATAATGTAGCAGGGGCTAGCATTGTGGCTTCACCGCTTTAGAGGAAGGAGGGGATAGTGAAGAAAATAGCAGAGGGTGCAGATAGGAAGAGAGGAGAGAAGGGGCAGAAAAAAGCTATGTGTGAGCATGTGAATGAGTGAATAGTCAGTGCATAGTGTGTGTGTGTGTGTGTGTGTGTGTTGGGCACAATGACCAATATTCCCTCATCAAATAGATTAGCAAGTGTTAAAGAGCCATTAAAAGGAGCCATTTAAAAGAATCTTATCAGACCTGTTTATCATCTGGCCCTGCCAAACTGTAAAAACAACACTAATAGAAGGGATTTAAGTGCCAAAGTGACCTTAATCACAGGTTTTAACAATACACTGTCAAGGGAATAGTTCGCTCAAAAACCATCAACCATAATAAACACCAATGTTTCTGGTATCTCAAGAACCAAACATCACTGATGTCTATCTTATGAAATCTCTTTTTCAGTGAGAAACTTAATTTCTGTATTTCTCACATGGAGTTATTATAAAGCTAAGCAAAAATAAAATAAAAAAATGAAGGTTTATTTTAGGATTTATTTAAGGATTATATTATCTTATTAATGAAGGATTTCCTGGACACTCTTTTTAATGTAATAAAAGTGAATGAGGATACCATAGGTGCTGTACTGTTCCCAAAAATACAAAAATGAAAGCACAATATAAAATACTCCATACTGTATGTCTTATTCAAAATATATCCATATCTAAGGGGAGAACCCACAACATTCCCAGAACATCCTGAATGTTCCCTGAAGGTCCTCCAAATAACGTCCCCCAAACTCCACATCGTGACTGTCTGGGAACGTTGTGGGAACGTTACCAGGCAACGTCCTTGACACCAGCGGGGACGTTCTCAGAACATCCTGGGAACGTAAAATTTCTAGCTGGGTATAACTTATATATTTTATTTATATTTTCATTAATATAATGAGTTTTCATGTTTAGTTAAACTACTTCATTAAAGTTACCATGAAATCAATTTTTTTTTATGGAATATTGCAGTATTAATTATAAATTATTTATTCGTGCACATTATTATCATTATCATTATTATTATTTTTTTTTTTTTTAAACTTCCACTTCATGCCAACTATTAGTAAAGTAAATATGATAAATCATTAATTAATATAATTAAAACAATGTAGAGAAATAAATAATAATAATATATCTATTTTTGGCTAATTGTCAAGCTGTACTAATTTTAAATGCCACAAAATTAATTAAATGGTAAACTAGTGGTAAATTGAACTGGTCTAGTGTATATTCTATCGTAATTGTACAATACTATTGTACAAATGTACATCTTACGGTTTTATTGTAAATACAAATCACTAAATCACTTTGACAAATCACTAAATCTTTCAATCCCCATACAACACTGATTTCACATTGCATCCCACATAGATATTATGCTGAATCATCATCATCCTGTTTTAGTCCAGGAGAAGAAAGTGAATGAGCACAGAAATCCCATCAGGGTCTTGGCTGGCGGACCTCCCAATCTCCCTTTCATTCTTCTGTGATGTACAGGAATGCTCAGAGGTATGAGGGTACGCATCGGTGGACAGTATTTGCTCAGACTCATTACTGAATCTCTGCCATTTTCACTTGACATTTTGTACCATTATTACCTGTCTGACATTTGAGGGCCAGAACAACATGTCCATGAAGAGCTGATTACATTATGGTCCGACTGCCCATATGTCTTGTTTGCTCCCGAGGAGCGACTAATATAGAGGGAAGCAATTAATATTGTCGACTTTCAATTCACACAATTAATGCTACACCCAAAGGTCTCAGCTCCATTACACAGACTGGCTTCGCAGTGGGCACCATCGAGGGGCTGTGATGGCGGTTCCTTGGATCTGATGTGGTACTTTCAGCTCTGTGCTAAAGTCAATCTTAGAACAGCTTGTTCTGAGATTTTCCAAGATCGAATAACTAGAAAGGAGTATCAACAACAACAAACTCTCCCATAAAGAGCTTCTGCATCAAATACTGGTCCATTATCTGGACTGCAACACTAAATCTGAAATAAAGGTGGAATAAAGGTGAAGAATTGCTGATTGGTGGATTGGAAGGGTGGGAGTAAGTCAAAAGGCCTCCGGATCTTTTGATCCCTGTCCGACGTATCGATTCCTCATCATTTCCCATGGACCTATGAAGTGAAGCCAATCAATCTTAGTTCATTTTAAAGAATTGTTTCACTCAGTTCTATAAATTGAGGGCAGACCATTTCTTCGGAACAAAGAAAAATCCCATTCACAAATACATCAACTCCCACACAGAGATTAATGGCCCTATTTTAACGATCTGAAAGGCAAACGTGAAACGCAAGTAACTTTGTGGGCGGATCTTGTCAAATCTAAAATGGGTTGGTCTGAAGTACGTGTGGTTTGGACGTAACGTGCAATAAACCAATCAGTGCGTCTTCTCACATTCCCTTTAAGAGCAGGCGCGCTTGTTCCATGGTGAATTGCTATTATTATGGCCAATTTGCCAGGCGCAGAGGAGACAGACGTTCTCGTCAGGGCTGTAAAAGAAGTGACATTGTATGGGGATGGGAGAAACCCACCTAAATTAGCTTCTGTTAAAAGGGATTATAATAATTTGGGTAAATGTATAAGCTAGATTTATGCCTATTTTTTTTTTCAAAATTCATGGACACCACAGTGATTTCCCTCGTGTGTTAATATTTTTCCTTGTAATAATGTTTGATTTGCAAAAATGGGAATAGCTGCGAGCGTCTGTGTAGATGAGAGAAGCGTTGTGCACACACTACATTATGGCCAAGCATGCACCCTTAAAATAACATCTGAATAATGCGCCAATGACTTTAGACTTTTCATAATGTGGATCTGATATATATTTCATATATATATAGTTTTCCCATTCAAATCCAAATCAAATTCAGGAATTTAAAAAGCTTTGAAATTCTAAAGGCATTGTAAATTCACTTGTGAATGGCGCTCAAGCCTGCCGCCTACATAAAGTCCCGTAGACAGATCCCTTTTTAGGCAGACAGACAGACGGCTCCCACTCTCTCCTCCTGCTGGATCATTCAGAAAGACCAGCCACTGACCAGGGGATCATGAATGAAAGACTGCAGAGGATTTTTTCTCTCTGAGCAAACACAGCAAGTGACATTTACGCACACACGCTCAACACATACACACAAACCCAACGCAACATAACAACAAACTCCGGTGTATACGCATAAAACATCATCACACACAGCCCTTATGTGCAACAAACACTAAAAGAGAAGCAGCAAAGTGGGGAAGTCAGGGAATATAGTTGGAGGAAAAAAGGGCAAAAACCTGCTTTACGTCTCTCTCTTTTCTCTCCTTGACTCTCGGAGAGCGAGGGAGACATGCCTTCCAAAAGTAAGCAAAGTAAACTTTCAAGAAGAAAGCAGCAAGAACTCAACGCGTGGGAGAGAAAGGAGACTCAATGTTATTTATATATTTCTGTTTATCTGTTTTCCTGTCATTTATTCAGAATGCAGCGTTTGAAACACCCCCTAGGATGAGAACGAGAGGAGAGGAGAGGAAAGGAGATGGCAGCGGCAAAGCTGCAGAAATTGTTTGGGGACTCATGATAACTGGAGAAAATATGCAATATAGAGACAAATGGTGAGGTTATAATACATTTTTCTGTAGCCTTTTTCATCCCATCACATTTTATCTTAGATGAAGAGATCCATGATATAGAAAAATGACTGCAGAACTCATATAATATGTGTCTGATTTTACCTCACATCATTGACTATTACTGATGATATAATATCTGACTGGCTTAGAGATTTTTTTTTTTTTGACTGTTGGCTAGCTTTCTCTATTTTTTTTTTTTTTTGACTGTTGGCTATCTCTCTCTCTCTCTCTGCGTAGGTTTAATTTGTGGAGATTAAAGGACACATAGCAAGGAGCAGATGATCTCATCTGTTCCTTGCTATGCGTCCTTTAATCTCCACCTGTTTTGTCCTGAAGCATATTTTTTTCCCCTGGCTTGGCGCCACCTCAGAACACATGACATAAAACCACTGATTTACTGCATCCAACATTACTTGAGCTTGCCTGGCATCCTTCTCATCAACCATTCAAGCGCAAAAAGACACAAAAGAGAACACAGTGCGGTACTGGCTCGCATTGTGCGAGAATCTCCTGCACACGACTCGTGAGCACATAAAGCAACTTCACAATGGACAAAAACAAAATTATGCCAAACTGCCAGTTTTGTTGAGTATCCTCGCAATAATGACAGTCTTAAATGAATGTAGAGAGTTGCGAGAAAATGAAATGCGTATCAGATCCACATTATGTGCGGCAGGTCTTAAAGTGACAGTAGCCCAATAAACCTGAAAATCTAATGAAAAGCTGAAGTGCAGAGTCATGTCAATCAAATCATTAATCTAAACTGGCGGAAGTGAGAGAAGTTTTGAACGCTTACATCTTCTAAATGCAAATTTTGTATGGATAACAATAAGGCTAATATACACTAAAAAGCAAAAATGTTTTGCTTCATTTTTGATTTCATGGTGACTTTAATGATAACCAAAGAACAAAGGAAAAAGATAAATAATTTTGCAGGTTTAATAAGGATTTATCAATATTTAATTAATAAGTGATGCAGTTAAGACTGAAGTATTTGATAACTTTATTCAGATTCTGTATATATACTATCTGTTTGTTAGGTGTGATTAATCGTGATTAATTACAAAAAAAAAAATCTGTGATTAATTAAGTATTATTTTTTAATCGATTAAAAATCACTAAGACTTTGAAAGCCCAACTTCAACTGTTTTGAAAACACTGCAGGATTGAATATAAATGCTATAATACCAGTCAGCTTCATCTCCGCTGTTTATTATAATGCCGTCTCACGCCTTTAGAATTGCTGCATGTTGACAGAATAGTTTCTATCGTTCTTTGATTTTTCTCAAGGGTAACCCAAACACAACAGGCATCGTGGGTGGCTCGAGCACACTTACGATGTTCATAAGAGTGAGGAGGTACTTCTCCACATGTTGCTGTTCATGAAACTGCACTACGGAGTCGTCCACCCCCAGCAAAACCTCAATGTTGTAGACTCGTTCGGGAGACTGTCTGCGGGCTCGTCGGCTCTGGTTAATACTGCGTTCCACGCCCTGATACAGAGCCTCAAGATCCAACAGTCCGCCCAGATCAGCACCTATATAAATATAGAAAAACAAAAAACAAACAAAAAAACTGAAATGACATCATTACAGCAATGCACAGACTTTCTTTTCCTTTTAAGTGACATTGTTGAATACAAGCTGTTTAGTGCCATAAGAAAGCTATCAAACCACTAGCCACTATATGTGGTGTCATGAGGTCTTTTTCTCGCCAGGCGGAGAGATGGAACATGGAGGAGAGAACACATTGAGGAAGATCTATCACCTTGTCTCCATCACCCAATCAGCTGGGGGCATCTTCTATGCTCCAATTATGTAACGTTTCCTAGGCAACCTGCTCATGGGTAAACCAACGCTCGGTGCAGACTAATATTAGCTCACCAGTCACTTTCTTATTGGATGATAATCCGAGAGTAAGAACAATATTCATCATCTTAATGCTGAGAGTCAGTAACATATTATTACAGGGCAACAGAGCCAAGAAGACAAGCACAGACATTCCCCAATAAACCAGTTGGAGAGGTGTTGGAGTGTTTTATTTTCTTTCTTTTTTCTTTGTTGTTTATTATGAAGGATTTTGTAGGGTTGTAAACTTCCTTTTACCAGCAGGTGTTCATTATATCACAACCTGTGTCAGCAGATTTTCACCCAAAATTAGAAGAAAGCTTCTACAGTACAACAAAAGCAATTAACATGCTCTTGGTCCATGTCTTTTAATATGCAAAATTCTGTTTAATTAACAGTATCTATTTTGTAGAAGTATCTGCACCAGGCTTATGTTATAGCATAGTCTGCTCAAAGCTGTGATGAACCGAAGGTGGGGGAGAAAAGACCACCATGTTGCAGCAGAAGTGAGAAGAAGAACAGATCCCCTCAATATCAATCTTAGGACCTGTTAATACTAATTGAAAAGCAAATTAAAAAGTATTAAACCAAACCTACTTCCACGCATCATTCTTCAAAGGTTTGTGGTCAGTAATTTATTTTATTATAAATGCCTTCTAAATTAATGCTGTTCATTTTTTTCCACAAAAACATTAAGCATCTCAGCTGTTTTCAACATTGTTAATAATAAGAAATAAGAATTATTTCTCAAGGATCATGTGATCTAGTTTAATGTTGTTGAGCACCATAAAATCCCCATTGATTTAGAATGAAAGCTTCTGCTAAGAACATAGATGGAACAATGCAATAATCAATACAAATATATTGTTTTTTTGTTTTACTTCCAACATTATAGAAAAAAAATCTGTTTCTTTGGGAACAGAAAGAAAAAAGGTTTTCCTTAGGGGGTATTCAACCCCCCCGCATTACCCTACAGGTGACGACTATGGCGTCTGTCTTTTTCTGCTCTTCATTTTCATTCCGTGATCCTCCAAAACTTGACCCATCACCCTGTCTGTCAAATACACACAGCTCCGTTCTGATCTCATGAGAGAACATTCACATTCAGGCTGAGGAGTCCTCGCCCTTATCAGGACACAAAGCTACTTTGTCTTTCAACCTTTGAAAATGTCAAGAGAACCTATAAGGAAGAGAACGATGGAATAAACTCAAGAAGGAGAGAGGGAAAGGGTGCTCAAAGTGGTAGGACATTGTAAAGTTGTGGTTCTGTTTGGCGATGTTAGGGAAAGTTCGACTGAGTTTGTGCGCTGTGAGTGTGTTTTTTAGTCACAGATGCAGTGTTGTAGTACTCGAGACTCGGACTCGTCTCGGACTCGGTCTCGAGACCATATTTTAATGGCCTTGGTCTTGTCATGGACTCGTGTCCATTTGGACTCGGAATTGACTCGTACTCGAACATTTTTTTTTTTAGGACTCGGAATTATTTTTTTTAGGACTCGGAATTTTAGGACTCGAGTCCACTCGAGTTCAATTCAAAATATTTTTCATGATTATTAATGTATGTTAATAAAATATTTCTTTAAATTGATTGACACGCCCAGTGATTGGTGATTTTCTAGTGCGCAACTGCGCATGACAAATTGTAATAAAATTACTTTTAACACCACCTACTATGTGGCCTTTTTACCCTAAACTGATCATATTTTTTAAACTCTAAGTAAATTCAGTAAAAAAAAAAAAAGGATTTCTCTAAGTAAATAAAAGTAAATTAGGTAATCAACCCTCACTGGTCTCGGTCTCGACTCGGACTCGACCGTCTCTCGGACTCGACCGTCTCTGGTCTCGGACTCGACTCGGACTCGACTCTCTATGGACTCGGTCTTGACTCGGACTCGACTCTCTCTGGTCTCGGTGTCGACTCGGACTCGAGTGAGGTGGTCTCGACTACAACACTGCACAGATGTACATGTTCACAGTACTTTGCTCCAGAATCACAGTATCATATTATGAACCTAAAGTACTGAACTCACAGTAGCTCGTTTCACTTCAATTCAAAGCATCACATGCTCATCTCTATGAGTGACAGATTTATGGGTCGCCGGGCCACCAAACTGCAAAAGCACTGAGACAGAACGAGAGTTTGGTACATCTAGACACATGCACATAGAAATGCACACAAATATGAATACACTTCCAAACACAAACATTTGCCGTTTAGTTTTCTATGGAGGTAAAAGTGTTAGAAAACTTTTCATAGAAACTTTTGTAATAAGACAGTGGCAAAACTTGTCACAATTATGTCTGTGTCCTTACTACACATGTTACATGTAATTACTATAATAATATGATGTAACAACTAGCCCAAAATGTAAACTAATAGACCCATTTTCAGTTGGTAAACATGGGGACGTTTTTATGTGGGCGGAGCTTAGGTGGAGGCAGAACGATCCCTCTGGCCACTAGTTAGCAAGTTTTATTGGCTTGTTTTTTAACAATGACTGGAGAAAATCAGATTTTATCTTAATGGGTAAGGTCACTCAGTGTCCAGGACTGCGATTGTTATTTCCAAAAGTTATCTTTAACGGACGGAATCAGATTGGCCGACCCGTAGCCGCCTACACGCTCACTCAATGCATGGACGATCTGACACGGTTGAGTGGCCTGACTTCTACACCTACCTTATAGAGAAACCGATCGTAAAGAGAAACTGATGGCATATAAATCTTTAGATGCCTATATGGTCCTGTACAAGACTTGTGTGGTACGATCCGCAGTTCTGCCGAGCCAGGGCAGAGAAGACGACAATGTAAAGAGTGTCGTTACGGTGCGATTTTAATGATGTGAATATTTTCTAGAAATAAAAAATCCAGATACAGCATATTCATTTTGCATCGATACTTGCACCAAACAACACAATAAGATGACATTTAAAAATAATAAAAGTAATTTAAGCTCCTTATTATGTAGCCGAATCTGTGCTGGTTTGCATCGGCCGCCTCCAGTTTTCACTTGTTTTGCCTTCAGCCAGCGCCGTGACGTAACTGTGACGTCGGCGCAAAAGGGGTCTATATTAACTCTAATAGTCAGTATTTAGATGTATAATCACACTGTAACAAGGACACCTTAAAATAAAGTATATAACCCAAAACCCACTTGTGCACATACAGTCCAAAAGCAAGTGAGCAGCACCAGGTTAGGATGAGTGGCAATGAAGCCTCGCCCATTCAAGAGCAATAACAATCGATTCCTAAACAATCAAATCAGACAATTCTGGAATATGATGATGTATTAGCACCATGGCAGGTGGAATCAGAAATTGTATCTTGATACTAAAATGATTATCCACAAACATCAACAGAAACAGTAATGTGGCCTCTCTAAATGACCTCTAAGTCACTTCACATTTGACCTCTGACATCACGTAAAAAAAAACTACATTCAGTAGCGCATTTCACAGTTCAAGAGAGTTTTCCAGCACATAATATTATCCCTTATGTAGCAAAAGCACAATAACGTTCTGTGTGCAAACAGCTTGCACATTGGCAGTGCGCCGGTGATGTCAGACAATGTTTTTAATTAGAATGTGAGAAAGTGTGTACATGCAACAGATGTACAAGCGAGCCTTTCTGTGTTCTTGAGGAAGGGTATCGCAACCTTAGGGAAATCTGATCCAGCCACACACATTTTCTAACAGCCAGTGCTCAATGCTCTTTCTGCCTTTTAATCTTTAATGGTGTGTTGTAAAAGCAGAGATCAAATTGAGCCTTTAGGACCAGGCCATTTAGAGCTGGTAATGATATCAGTAACTAAATCATCTCCAGCGGTAATAAAGTATGCCATTTGATTAAGCTCTATATTAATGCCAACAATGCACAAATGTTTACTATGTGGTAAGCAAACCGGTAATGTTACTGTAGAGCAGACGTCAGCAACCTTTTTGACATCAAGTGCCATTTGTAATCTATAATAGTAATCACATTGTAATCTCACTTTCCCCATGTAATATAATACAATATACTATCTACTGTATATTTAAGTAATATCTAAACATGCCTATATTTTATTATATTATGATGATCTCAAAGACTCCACTTAAAGGGTTAGTTCACCCCAAAATGAAAATTGTGTCAGTATTTACTCACCCTCATGTTGTTCCAACACCGTTAGACCTTTGTTCATCTTCAGAACACAAATTAAGATATTTTTGATGAAATCTAAGAGCTGGATCACTCCTGCATACTACTTCATAGGCTTCTTGAGGGATTGAACTAACACAGTCTCATCCCAAGAAGTTATATAACTGACGTCTTGGGACATCGTTTGACCATACGTCAACATCCGCCTTTTTAGGGTACCCTTAAACGTCGGTTACATGACGATCCCGGGCCGTCATACAACTGACGCTTTACCTTTAACGTCGGTTAGGTTTAGGGATAGGTTTAGGTCTGGGGTAGGGTTAGGATCCGATAACGTCACCTACCCGACGTTTAAGGGTACCCTAAAAAGGCGGATGTTGACGTATGGTCACAAGACGTCCCAAGACGTCAGTTATATGATGTCTTGAGATGAGACTGCGCTGATTGAACCTTGCTGGCCTCGAAAAGTTATTAAAGACATCGTTAAAATACCCCAAGTAACTACAGTGGCTCAATATTAAGTTTATCAAACGACAAGAACACTTTTTGTTTGA